TGTAGATTGAAGATATATGGTTGAAAAAACTGATCTTGAAAAACACTGCAGAAGAATGGTTTGAGTGGAATGGTGATTTGTATGATTAGACTAATTTAGTCAAGAGGTTTCTATAGTGTATTAAATTAAGTTTTATTTTTCTGTATAGATTCATTTTAATTATTGTAGATGATTCTTTATCCTAGTAGCAACAAGAAAAAATATTTCTAAAAGTGTGAAAGAGGCACTTTTTTTATAATTTTAACAGTAATGGTTGTATTCTTTCTGAGAAGATTCTTCTGTTAACCTGAATAATGGATTATACTTTGGTCCTGTAGTTTCAGAAGAAGATGTCAAAGTCAAATATGGTTTAAAAATGAATTACAGAGATTGTACATACCAATAAGTAAAACATTTTCTTTCCTATTTATTTTATTCCTTATGGTTTTGGTTCCCCCTGTCTGGTCACAACTGCCTCTTGAAACAGAGCAGTTTTTTTGTTTGTTTTTCTTTTATTATATTATTATTATTTTTCCATTTTTTTGTTTTGTTTATGGGAAGTGGAGTGGGAGCCTTCATGTTCTGATGTTCTGGTACGATGCAGACAGGGGTGGGGGTGGGAAGTAGGGAAGGGTTGTAAGGGGGTGTGCTGTGTATACAGTGTACAGATTATCGCTTGCTTCTCTGCCTTTAGCATAGAACACAAAAAAGAAAAAAAAAGAAAAAAAAACAACAGGACAAATTCAACACAGCCATACAATAACTCAAAAAAATAACAGAAGTGTGCTTTCTATGTTGTCTGGAGTGAAAAATGCTTCATACAAGCTGCTAGGTGCAAACTGTTCTGGTGTGATGTAAACAAGCAATAACGATTACTTGAGAAACTCTTGGGGTTTTTTTGTGTTTTTGTTTTTGTAATTTTTGTACAGTTTCCTGAAGAAAAAGGACACATTTTTGCTCCATGTTTGGATGCAGTATTAAACACAGTTTTTTATTGCAGTTTGTACCAAGAAAGTCTACATCCACACACAGCGTTCCTATTAGATTATGCAGCATTGGCTGAGGCCTGGAGAGGGAGGTAGTTTGTGATCCCCCTGTTGACACATGCCCTCTCTGCCTCCAGCCATTCTTCTATAGCAGAGGTCAGAGTTAAGACTGCACTTCATGAGACCTGCTCTGACAGACACTTAGCCATATTTTATGACCTCAGGCAGTTAGTTCAACTATAAAGTGTTCAGTAATGACATGCTATTCTTGTGCCCCAGTAGGGGTTTGGTTTGACCTTCACAAGATCTAGAGCAAGTCATCTTCTCTAACCTCAAAAGTACATTTTCCTCAAAGAAACAAAACTTTTTATATCAGCTATTTAACCCAGGACAGACTTGGAGCAAAGCCAAATAATCCTCACCTTTCAATTGGATTTCTGAATTCTACCAGCTTTTATTTTCATCGTGAGAGACGACCTGTTGGTTAGCACGCTTTGAGGCCCACAGAAAACAAGAAATCTATGATGATGTCACTTCACAGGGTCTAATATAGATGTTGCAGCATAAAATAGGAAAAGAATCATTCTGAATGTATTGTCATTAAAGGCCTTAGGATGTGACTGATGGTGTTTCCTGTCAACATGTTGACAACGTGGTGTTGTACAGTTGCACCATGCTTTTCTCAGCACTTGCGGAGGAAGTTGCCCATTGTTGCTTCTTTTTTTTAAATTAAGTTCTATACAAAATTTGAAGCTGTAGCAAGTCAACTTTGGGACAAAGGAAGTCTGCATCAAAGTTTTGGTTGTCATCATTGCAGATGTCATGCAGTTGTTTTGCTGTAGGCCTACAGGAGACCACACTTCTTTGATAAATGCTGTTTTGATTGTAAAATACAGTCGTGCAGAACAAGCCTTTTTGAGCCATTTTAAAGAATGATTCAGAGCCCTTTGCAAATTTCCAAAGATTGTCAAGATTTTGAAGACTTAAAGCCATGTGGTAGCAATGCATTTTTTAGCATTTATAATGAGGACAGGTGCAAAGAAATGATTTTGCCCCTAACAAATATCCAGGCTTTGGACCCACTAAACGAAATATTTTTTCTCTTTAACTTATGGTTTTGAAGAACTTTAAATGCCCTTTTGTATTGTCTGCCAATTTCTTAGAGCTAAGATGCAACCTTGAAATGCTAAAAACCCTAGCATAATGCCTTAGATTTCGTCCGTTCTCGTTCTTGTACATTACACCGCTGTCTGTATAAATTTGTATAATGACTTGTGTACAATATTGAATGGGTGCATCATTGTTCAACTCTTCTCAGTTACTGGAGACTCGGTCACAGTTGGACTGTCCCTCATCATTGCTCTTTGTTCTGTGTTGGGTTGAAGTTGACTCTGTTATTTCATTTCCCCCTCACTGTTTGTATGGAAAAGATGATACATAGGGATATTGAAGCAATATGTAATATACTATATGGACTTTCTGAAGAAAGCTTACTGTTGTGTTTTCCCGAGATATTTTTTTTTCTGCATTGTTCACAGGAATCACACTGTACACCCGCATCCACCTTTGTACCCCTTAGTGTGTGAGCGTTTTATGCAAAATTAGATATACAAGAGAAGTTAAAACCACAGTTATGCAAGTTGTGAACTAATATGGCTTCGCTGATGCTATTTGCCTTGTAAATAAAGAATTCTGTTATTGCAATATTTAATCAAGTGACTCTTATTTCAGGTGACTGAAGGTGAAAAGTGAAGGAGGTTTGAGCTCGGGGGAAACCATTTAAAGCCTCAAGGTACCTTTCTACTGTGTTTTCCAACATATAAAAATGCAAGAAGAAGCAACCTGTTCAGCTTTATTGACTAAAACCAGAATATAATGATTTTGTCACTCAGCTAAATTGACAAACTAAATTTAAAAAAGAATCCCTATTTAAATAATGAACATTTTACTTTCATATTTGTTTATTTTTTCGATAATAATGAATTTGAAATGGCATAAAATAAATACTTTAATCGAAAATCCAAAAAAAAACAAAAACGCATACATACAAATTTCTTCAGAGATATTTTATTTAGTTTAGTCTTTAGGCCTTAGGCCTTTAGTTTTGGATACAGCGACAATTCACATTAATTTCATGCGAATACTGCAAAAATGAAGCGGTTTAAATATATGATTAGACGTGGAGGCCTGGTTATTTTTCCATGTTTACCGGTATTTGTATTTGGCCTAAGCGTTTGCAATAGCCGTGCGAAGAAGAGCCTTTATACAAATAGCCCATTCAAAACTGTAAAAAAAATATATAAACAAGATGCAAAAGTCAATATGAAAATGCATGCAAAAAAACACAACTAATGATACAATAAAATAAAGAGAACGCTCGGTTCACTTACTTACTCCCTTTCCCAATGAAGTTTGGAGCAGAGAGAGAAAGATGTAGATGTCGAATGTATTATGTATTTCGACCATTGTTTGGACTCTTCCTAACTCACTACATCCAAGACATAATAACACACATCTTCACTCCACTTGGCGGGGGGGGGGGTTCCTCCGATAAGATCTCATCAAGTGTTTGTAATGGGATGGGGAGGGTCTCCGCATGGAAATGTTTGGGGGACCTCTCATTGTGGCAGAGAGCGGTGTGGAGAAGTTAACGGGGTGGGTTGTCCCAGAGAAAATGTATTCCTATGGGGGGGGGGTGGCATTGAGATGCATGAGGTTGAGCGGATTCCTGGCCAATAGGAAGAAGGTGCTGGGAAGCATCTCCAGCAGACTTGACTGTATACAGTAGAGATGCCCTCAGATGACCACAGACCAAGACACGGACAGAGAGAGAGAGAAGTCCCCGCAGCACATAACGCACTCTGAAGTTGCAGAAGTTGCGAGATTTGGTTCTAATTTTACTGTGGACATGACAGAGACGACTTCACTTTGAATCAACTCTGCTTCATTTAAACAAGGTAAGCAGATTTTGCACTTGAAGAATCGCACCTACAGCACATTGCTGCAGATTTATATAAAAAAGAAAATACAGTCTCTGTTACTCACGGGATTCATTATTACTCATTCCTTTATGTAACTGTATTCTTTTAAATAATAAAAAAAAATAGAGTTAGGATAGATCATTTTGTTTTTTCATGTTTGAAATGATGTATCTTTTTAATTTCTCTTCTGGTAAACTCACAATTCTTGCCAATCGTAATTTCCTCCAGCCAACATTTTGCTCCAACTATTTCCCTGCTGATGTCTTTTTCTCAATGATTGAGCGGTGATTGTAAGGTCCATTATAAGCTTCATTAATGTTGACCTCTGCTCGATCCGACTCTTCTTTAATTAGTGTCATGACCCTGATTTGTCTCTCTGTTTACTGGCTGACTGGTGAACGGTTCCAAAAAAAACAAAAAACAAACACACTGCATGTTCCCGGCCGCTCATTTGCAGCCGCTGATGAGCATCTGATGTGTGCCTGCTGTGTGTCCTCTCAGCTGGAAATATTGCAAAATCGGCTGTCCCATTTCACTGAGGATTGCTTTTCTCATATTGGGCAGTTATTATGCTTTGTTCAATATTTGCCCAATGTTCTCATCTGCAGCAGCTTGTTTTTTATAGGTCATTTGAAAAACATTTTTACTCTTACCTCACTGTAAGTTGTAAATCAAATGAAAAAAAAAATATTGTAATCTTCATAACCGTCATCCAGCGATCAGTTTACAGTCTATTAATCTGTTTGTGGCATTTTTATGTCACGAAATTCTATAAGGATTCGTAGTTTTCATGCTGTAGCCTATTTGGATTATGGTAATCAAATTAGAGTTTCAATTTCCAAACTTTCCAAGGGCTAAAGTAACAGCTTATTGGCTTTAAAATAATCAATGCACGTGTGGTCAACCTCTTTTGATGTCATGTTTCCTTTTTTAGTTTTCTTACATTAAACTTTTATAACTCACCCCCCACTTCCTTCCCACCCCCTCCTCTCTCTTATCCACTGAAGGATACACCACCGTCTTCATTGCACCTCTGCTCCACCTCCGTGTTGTCATGTCGGTGTCTCTGTCCAGTATCCCTGTCGTGCTGAAGGACAAGAGCTACCAAAGCAGCATGCTGAAGGGTAGTCCCGCTCGGGGCTTCTACCATGCCCCTCTCCCCTGCACCCATCACTTCATGGACTTCTTCCCGCAGACTCACAGCCTCCTCCATCCACTCAAGTCCCTCGGTCGTCTGGTGTCTGACACCCAGGCGTCCCTTCCGCTCAGCCTGCACGGCGGAGCCCCTCAGTTCCTCGGCCAGGGCGGCCACCACGCCTCGGTCCTGCACCAACACGTGTTGAGCGCCTCCGGCATCCCCTACCTGAGCCAGATGTTGACCGGGCACCCTCTCTACTCCAAACCAGAGGAGCTGGCTGCTGTGGTGACCGAGCACGCCGCCGGTCCGCTGTCCACAGACTTCAGCAGCCCGTCCAGTGAAAGGTCCTCCTCGGCCTCTTCCTCCGCCACCTCACCACCCAAGGAGAGTTTGTCTCGCCTCCGGGCCGCGGACCTGTCACCAGAAAAAACACGCACATCTTATAATTTTAGCGAGGACGACTTGTTCGCGGTGCTGTATGGTTATTCTGGGAGCCACGAGCGCAGCGTGGGTCACGCTATATCAGGAGTGGTCCTGCCCGAAAACTCAGGTGAGACCTCTTCTTTTGTAGTGATGAAATGATCGGATGTTCATTTAGTTTAGTGTGAAAATATATGATTGCATTCTTTGGCCTAGGTAGTTACAGTTTCATTGTATCCTGTAAGAAACGAAATTGTCCAAAAACATATGAGCATCTTTTTGGTCACAATAGGTCAAATGTAGTCTATCAATTTTATCGAGTGATAATATTTAGTTAACCATCAATAACTTCTTAAATTCCCTATTAATTTTATTCCCCATTTGCTCATTTTTGATTGTTTTTTTTTCTTCTCTAGTTTCTGATTCTCACATTCTCCCACTGGACAAAGAAACACTTGAACTTCCAGAAGGTATGCACAAAGCTGCACAGATCACATTCAACTGTGTGTTTGTTTGCTCGTTGAACTGCTGGAGTTTGACGCCGCCTTGCCTCCGTGTTGCAGGTTTAGCTGTCCTGCAGGCAGCTTGGGGAAACGTGTCCCATTGTGGAGTTTTCACAGACAAAAGCAGTATCCCTAAAGGGACACGCTTCGGCCCTTTCCAAGGAAAACTAGTCAACACCAGCGAGATGAAGACATACGATGACAACACCTTGATGTGGGAGGTGTGTGTTTAATTTGTTTTCGAAGACCTGATTCTATCTAAAAATATATATATTCTGTCTCCAAGCTCATCTTACACTCTTTCGTCCTCCAGGTGTTTGAGAACGGCCGCTTGAGTCACTTTGTGGATGGCAGAGGAGGATCAGGGAACTGGATGTCCTTGGTGAAGTGTGCTCGTTTCCCAGAGGAGCAGAACCTGATTGCTGTGCAGGTCCAGAGTCAGATCTTCTACGAGGCCTGCAAGGAGATACGGCCAGGCCAGGAGTTGCTGGTGTGGTATGGAGACTGCTACATACAGTTCCTCGGCATCCCACTTACCCTGAAAGACCCCAGAGAGGACAGCAGCGTGGTTCCTCCCACAGAAGGTCAGACTTTAACCTTGCTTTCAGCAGCGCCCTATTGGTTTATTTTACCACCACACTTAAATATATGCTTTCTATATTTTCCCCAGATACTGGAGAGGGCTTCAAGTGTGACAGATGTGGGAAGGTGTTTGCATACAAATACTACAGAGACAAACATCTGAAGTACACACGGTGTGTGGACCAGGGCGACAGAAAGTTCCCCTGCCACCTCTGCAACAGATCTTTCGAGAAAAGAGACAGATTAAGGATCCACATCTTACACGTTCACGAGAAACACAGGCCTCACAAGGTACACACGTCTGTTGGACTCACTATAGTGTAAACGCACGGTCTACCATTACATCATCGTAACACGCAGGAGGGTCATAGGTGCATTCAAAAGTTTGCGTGGTGCTGAAAGAACAGCTCCCTGCAGCGTCACTTAGACCCTGATACTTTAAATTAGGCCTTCTGTAAATTTGATGGTAAACACATAGCCCAAAGAATCACAACAAAACAATATAGATAAAATTAATTATTTATTAAACACACTTCCATGACTTCTTTCCCCCTCAGAAACCAATTGTTACCAATAATACACTTATTATTTTTACTTTATAAAGGACAAAATAACTTTTAAATGCGGATAAAATCCTCCACTAAAATGTTAATGAATCGAAGTTAGATAATCTACCAGAAAGTAAAAATGACAAATTATTAAATGAATAAATAACATTAACTCCTACATGCTAATGTATCATGTTCTTCTGATATGCAGTGCTCTGTGTGTGGAAAGAGTTTCTCCCAGTCGTCCAGTCTCAACAAGCACATGCGCGTGCACTCTGGAGAAAGGCCATACAAGTGTGTCTATTGTAATAAGGTAAGAAGCCTTTATTTTTCCTTTTCCAGTGCAGTGTTGATGTATTAACCTCTAGCTAGGCTATACTAATTCAATGTATTAGTCTTAAAAGCGTAATAGTAGGCTATAATAATAATAATAATAATATTTAAATGTTTTATCGCCCTTAATACCACAATTATCAGAGGCTGACCTATGAGTTAAGTAGTGCCTAAGCTTCTATTTTAGACGGATATGTCTTCAAAGGTTCAGTAAAATATCAACGTCAGTTTGTTACGTTGTTTTAATTATCATACAACCAGCTAAAAGAATTTCCAGCAATAGTCTCATTGTTCCCGGCCAAGACCTTCCTCTAATGGAAGTGAAGGCTTTTATCTTCCATGTTATAATGTTTTTATTTCCCCCTCTGGCTCTATAAGTAAAGGACCTGCAGGACTTATTCTGCCCCTTACTTCTCTTCTTCGACCCTTTTTTTTTTTAAAGCTGCAGTGTTCAGGATCCATTTAGCACTACCTCGTTTCATGGTGCATTTGGCTCGAGCCCCTCATCATTGTTTCTCTCGACGGGCACGCTCTGCGGAGACACTTACATGCTAATTATCGCCAGATGTACACCCACACTTTTGTCTGCCGAGATTATACGTTTAATTTACGGCCCTGGAATGAGCAGAAGTTTTTTTGTTCTTTGTTCTCGATATCCTCCCCTTTTTTAATGCACCCGAAGAACGTTTTGTTTAACCTAATCCCCTTTCTCCTTTTCTGGGACACTTCAAGCAATGCCACGAGACCAGCGGTGTACAGTCACTTTATGGTTGCTAGCTAGGAAGCCTTTGATAAAAATGCGAAAAAGAAAACAAAAATTCCTCAAAATGTCCTTTTTTAAATTGCAAATAATCTTTACATGAGGGTATTAAATCGTAAAATGCTGCTGATAAAGTGAGTCTTGTTATAAAGCTATTTATTATTAGCCATATTAAACAGACAGACAATAGCATACAGTTGTGCTTTAGAGTAGCTAGCTTGTCAAAAAAAGGTCCTATTATATAAACTGCGGTTAAATCCCTTTATCTGCTTTCTGGTCTTTAAAAAAAACAGTCTGTCCTGTCGAAAACAGTCTGTCTTGTCGTCATTATCGATAGCCTTCGAAAAACTGTGAATTTAACAAAAAAAAAGAACAGTGAAAATATTGTAGGCTATTCACCGAGGGTTTTAATTTTCTCTTTTCCAGGCCTTCACTGCCTCCAGTATTCTGCGCACACACATCCGCCAGCACTCCGGGGAGCGGCCCTTCAAGTGCAAGCACTGCGGGAAGGCTTTTGCCTCCCACGCTGCCCATGACAGCCACGTCCGGCGGACCCACGCCAAAGACAAGCCATACACCTGCGACCTGTGCGGAGCAACTTTTCAAGAGGAGCAGGAGCTTAAATACCACATGAAAAGTCACAAAAGTAAGAAATGATTTCGTTATAGGCCCAACAGGCCTATCCCTCTTCTAGCATTAAAGGCAGACACCTCAAGTCTCTTTTTCCTCTTTTTTATTTTGTGGATTTGATATCGAAGTTGGTTATTTAAGGTTATATAAGAAACATATAAAAAATGCAAAATAAATAATGAAAGTAATTTAAACAAAACGTTAGGCTAGATACGTTTGAGACTAATATTATCCTATATTAAGGTTAATTTGTAACAAATTCGTTCTGTGGAAATTTTGTCTTTTACTGTAGTGGCAGACGTGCCAATGGCAAACAAAAATTCAGTTGTTTGCAGGCTACGATGCTGTTTTTTTCGTATGTAACTTACAAGCAGGTGTTTGTCTTTAGCCCATCAATTCGAAAACGTGTATATGCGGCACTATTCTGCTTTGAAAACAGTTTATTTATTGCGCTTTTTTCTGTTTCTGCAGGTATACAAATGTTGGACAGCACAGTTCTTCAGTCTTCTCCGGGGACCGGATTACAGGCGGACTCTGTGATTCCAGTGAAGGACAATCCAACATTACAGACAAAAGCCGGACAAAACTTTCCTTACACCGGGTTAACCCTTTCAAATCAGGAATATCGGCCCTGGAACTAGTCTATCTGAGCTAAACTATACTCCTGATAAAATCCTGACAAAGAGAACCACTCCAATCGTGTAATATTTTGGAGGATTTTAGATGATATAAGTATCACAAGAAAACTAAATCTATACAGGATTGTGGTAATACCATGAGAAATAAATAAATAAGGCCCACGATGAGGTAGGAGCTCGTAGTTTTTCTTTGATTAAATGCTGCTTAAGACAGAAATGTTCTATAACAGGCCTATATAAATAGGCTCTTCATTATTTAAATTGTTGGCAAAAATGTGTCTAAATCTATTTATATGTTAAAATATGTTGTGTGTTGTTTTGTGGCTTAAAGCTTTCACTCTGCAATGGTTTTGTGAGCTCAGTGTGATTACATAATAATAACAACATTTTTTTATTTTTTTTATTATTATTATTATTATTATTATTATTATTATTATTATTATTACACGTTGGGTTTTCACGCATTAATTAAGCTTGAAAAGCAAAGCTATTTTTTATCGTTGTAGATTCGAGCCTATTTGTGTATAAAATAAATGTTATACGCTCTCTTAATTTATAATGTATGATAATATTTTTTACTGTAATGTAAGGCTGAAAAAGCAATCGAAAGTGTCATTGTTCTCTATGATCGTTCGCTTTTTCATGATTAACAAATAAAAAAAAATCAGCGCATGGAAACAAGATTGCTTGTCTGAATTGAGCAGTTTTACCTTTAAAATCACAATTGAGAACGAATAAATTGGTGACCATGATACTATATAATAATATAGTGCAAACGTTTGTTGAGGTTAGGTTGTATTTTTCATCAGTTCAGATATTTATTTGGTTGTGTTTTCTCTGTGCAAGTGGAATAATAATGTCCACATTGTAAAGAGAATACAAAGTTGTTAAATTATTCTAATTATACCCCATGGATGGTATCAATGTTAATATATGGTACATTTGGACACTTGCATCATGGTGTGTGTGCATGTTTGTGTGTGTTGTTGGCATGGGCTGTTGTGCATATTTCACCTGTGCACCAGTCCACTCAGCACATCAGTCGGTGCATATGTCCCCACTGTCTGCTGTGTATTAGCCATGTGATGAATTGGAGGCTGCATGCTCAAAGTAAAAATGAACAAACCCCACTGGACCAAATGAATGACAATAGCTTGCAGCAGTAAGGTGGTCTATTGCTCCAAGCACAAAGGAGATCGCCGTGACGGACATCTGCCCTCACACTGTCACCAACTGGCCCCCATGTTCTCCTGAGATCAGATAGATAGATAGATAGATAGATAGATAGATAGATAGATAGATAGATAGATAGATAGATAGATAGATAGATGGATGGATGGATGGATGGATGGATGGATGGATCAGGTTGTGTATGTGTCAATGTGTCTGGGTTAATTTAAGGAAAGCCTCAATTGATACCACGTTGGTGGCAGCAGCATGGGGTCTGACAGATGACACAGTGTCCAGCCTTTGTTTTGGTGCTCTGTTATGTCACCTTTAACCTCTGGGTCAACATACTTCACAATGACAACATGTAGTCAGACATAGCAACGCTCCAACCGTGTTTAGTGCTGCAACACCCATTCAAACAGTGGGAGAAGGGAAATAAAGCGAAAAGGTGATTGAAAATGTAATTTTTGAAAATAATGAATAAAAGATAAAAACTGATTGTTCAGCCTGCACGTACTGTACATTTTTAACATCTTGTTTTGCCATCAGATCCTAGTGATACAGAGCTAGAGCTGAGACTATGCTTTTCTTTATTGGCTGTGTGCAGGGAGAAGGGCAGTAAAGTCAGTAGCACTCTGTCCAGCCACTGTGTTTATTTTCTATAACGGATGGACAGCAGACTTCAGGGTCAGGGGTCACCTCCTCACTGAATGTTTAACAGCCTCCCTCTCCCTTTAAATAGCCAAAATATGGATGCTTGAACAAGTGTAGATCAACCTTCACTGGACCTGCCCCTCCCACGTATACAACCCCCGAGCCTCCATGAAGTGGCCTGCTGTGAAAAGGGAGGATACTCCCCTTTGTGGTTCTCCAGGAGCAGAGGGGTGGAGGAGAGAAGGATGGGACAAGAGACAAAGACAAAAAGAAAGACAGAAGGAGAAAAAGGAGAATGAGCTGCCAGAGCTGAAATACTGAGATTGTTAGCGAGCCTTGCTAGAAGACTGATTTTACTAGCACCTCTCTGATTGGCTTATTTAGGACTCGACACTCCAGCATGGAAGGATTTGTATCTAGGTTGTTTATACGGATTGATTTCACACTTAACATCCCAGCAAGTTAACAGCGCCTCTGGAGGACTATCCATCAGATTAATCTCTGTATTAATGTGATATTAATGATACGAGTGGTGGACTTTTACGGCCTAGGTTTTCTGAGGTTAATTCTTTCCGAGGTTGAAGCAAAGGGCCATAACGCTCTCCAAAACAATGCACGATGAACACTCAAATCCATCTCATAAATGGGCACACATCTGAATTTAGTGCTGTGTTTAATTTATAATGTTTATTGATATAAAGAGGAGATTGCTGTTGCAGGGTAATTCTGACATCTGAGGCCAGCTGTGAGCTTCATGTTTGAAAAATGCTTCTCCTCTCTTCTCTTCTCTTCTTCTCAGTCTGCTAAGCTAGTGGAGCTGAGTGGTCAAATGCTCTGATGTATTAGCTTCTATTGATTGCCTAATAGCTGTCAGTGTAGTGTAGTGTAGTGTGTGTGTGTGTGTGTGTGTGTGTGTGTTGTAGTCTGGCTGATGTTGAGGCCAGCTCCTGTTTAAGTCCGGCCTCAGACTCTCATCTGAGTGGGCTCATAAACTATAACCACACCAGCTCTTTGTCAATCTGTGCCACTGTCTGCCTCAAACCACAAGAAAACTCAGTGATGATGAAGATGAAAGAGATTTCTGAAACTTACTGCTTACTTTTTGCTTTTATGTTGTTTTCATTATGTAGTCATCTTCCCTTCTTCTGCATTCAACCTGATTGCCATTTCCTGCCCATACCCTAAAACACATACAGTATAATCTTTGTGGGTCATTCTGGTTTAGTTGACTTGTGTCTTGAGTGTCTCTCATTTGTTTTCTTGTTCTACCAGAAACCATCCAAAGAAGCAGCTTTTAGTGTCTTTAATTTAGAAAAAAACAACATAATTGAAAACTATGCAGTTTATTCGTTTTAAATGGGCTTTGAAAGTCTTTCCTGGCCCCAGTAGTGATGAAAGCTTTTACCTTTTACCTTTCACCTGATACCTTCCCTATGCAAGACCATCCTTTTGCATAAGTGGGATGTTGTTTTCTCCACCATTTTCTTGTTATAATAGTAACTACATATGATCTTAAATGCACCCCGAGGTTAGCCAAAACTCTGCTATCACACCCTTCTCTGCCTTTGACTGATTCATTTCTGTACTCTACTATAAAAGAACTCAACTAACTCATTACTGCACTGTAACTCTATTTCCAGTCTAGCATTTTATGTCTAATTGTATTTAACTTCCTGTACAAATAAAATTTACTCGTCTTGTTTCCTTTAGATTTTATTTCAGATTTCATGTGCAGTTTTAATAGGTTTAAGTTCTCTGACAAAAGATGCAGTTAGTTTTTGAAGCAGACTTTTTTCTGATACTGATTATCAATATTTTTCATCTGGCTCCGCTTTGTTGCAGCTTTATTTTAGATTTTTAGTTTTTCTTTGCTTCAGTCATAATAGCATGATATCGGTGTGACCTCTGTCTTTAAAGAAAACATTGGAGTTAAGTGATTTAGTTCCAGTGGGTCCTCTGAACTGTGCAACCCCTTCCTGTTCCCTCTGTCAGGACTTGAGTTGGATCAGCTTGCGTCCTGCCATTCATGCCTCAGGTTGGAGCTGTTATTATCGCCCGGTGATTTCCACCGGGACGGTGGACAGTGCAGCAGGAGACACAGAGAGAGGCTCAGCAGCCTGCATGCTACTGACTGGATAAAAGGCAGATCAAACACTGTCTGCAAAGCCTCTCCATATTGCCGCCCAGCACTCAGTGTTTGTGTGTGTGTGTGTGTGTACGTGTGGTTGTGTGTGGTTGTGTGTGGTTGTGTGTGTGTGTTCTAGGTGGGATTGATGCATGAGGAGGGCAGATGGCCTTATCCTTTTCTGTGGGGGCTGGTGTGAGGTTCCACTGTGGTCCCATGGGGCAGCATATTTTGGCCTACTGCCCCCCAACACACACACACACACACACACACATACACACTCTTTCATAACTCCCATCAACTCCTAAAGCAACCCATCACAAAATCTACTGTAAGTCTTATCTATCTATCTATCTATCTATCTATCTATCTATCTATCTATCTATCTATCTATCTATCTATCTATCTATCTATCTACTTCTGCTTGTAAGAGAACTATAACACATTATTTCCTTGCTCCTGTTTGAACTATTTAACCCCTGATGGACTGCAGGACTCTTCTTTTGGGCCAATTCATATGCAACTATGCTGAAAGGAGTAAAAATGCTTGTCGGCTGACATGCGGCATTGTCATTCGGGATGTTAGAAAGTGTTACAGGGTTCTTCTCCCCATGTGTCGCGCTTTACAATAGTTCTCAGCGTGCTATTTGTGTGTCTTTATGCGCAAGGCCATTGTATGTACCCAACTGTTATTCCTGTGGGTGATGAAGCTAGCAATAGGGTAGCGAGGAGAGGAGCTACTGTTACAGTACTCATCCCCCCACCCACCACCACCCTCCCAACACACACACACTCTCTCACACACTTCTGTGTCTGCATCATTTCTTTTCTCCCTCTCCGGCCATGTGTTTGTGCGCGTATCATAAATTGGATGAAATAATGGCTCGGTTTCCTCTTTCCAACAACAACAAAAGCAGAAATGCAGAAAGTGATAGACCGTGAGCATGTAATTCCCATGTGACAGTTGCCTCGTGTTGTTTGCCTGCCCCTGTTGTGCCTGGGTCTATTCTCAGGCGAATGTTTCACTCGGTGGGGTAGTGGTGTTGAAAGGCCC